AAAAAAAAAAAAAAAATCTAAAAATTCTGAAAAAAAAACCTATGTTATGCAGAAAAATAAACTGAACAACTTTTGCCTCAGGGTCACATCGAAATTCTGCACCAAATTTAAAATAAAAAATAAAATTCAAAAATATTTTATTCATTTTTATTTTTTTTTAATTATTTTGGCCCGGCCGGGCAAGTGACCCCGGGCCACTCTGGTAGCCTAGATTTGTGTGATATATATGTGCTTTAGGGTACGTCATGTGTGCAGTTTTGACATGTTTGGATCAATGATGAAAAAGTTGGCATTTTGTTGAATTCGTTGGACACTTCATTGTGACTCGGACAGTGTCTTTGTGTTAGGGTTTCATAGTGTTTTTTTTGTTTTTTTTTTTTCGTCCTTTTTTCCTGTTTCCTTTTTTTATGTTTGCACTATGGTCTCATATCGTTTGTTTTTAAAACTTTTGATGAAATTTGCACCGCAATTGACAACGAAAACGGCGAATATTTGGGCCCCCATTAACCGTCTCTCGGTGGTTACGGCCAAATTTTCTTGCTCTTCCATCCGCTACTAGTACCTTTCCCGCGTGGGAAAATAGGGAAAACTGGCTGTTTTCCCAAACTCCTGAATCTTCAGAGGTCGGGCCCGACTGCGACTGCCATTGATAAATCTGATCGGCGGCCGTCATTTCGTTTCAGCCTCCAAAAAGGTCGGACGCCTACCCGAGGCCCGCTATTTTCCAAGCGGCAAAGGTACTAGTGGTTTAAAAGTGGAATGATACAGAGAATGAAGATCAGCATGGCCCCTGCGCAAGGTTGACACACATGATCGAAAGATGACCGAATTTTTCCAATTTTTTTGTGAATCGAAGAAATCTGTCAGCCATCGATACCTCGAATGCACACAGCGCCCAAGTTTTCTGCCGAGGGAACGCCCCCCTGAGCATCACCGAAAAAAAAAAAAAGGCAAAAAAAAAAAAAAAAAAACCAACTTACCGCAGATCTGCCTTTCTGCCTGCAGAAAGCACAGGCATAGTTCCTCTCTTCATTCTCAGCCAGCTCCTCGCCATCCACACCGTTACTGCAGCTCTGATAATCCTCATCGTCGCCGACCTCAGCCTCCTCTTCCTCGCTACTTGAATCCCCTGATTCATCACCACTACCGTCCGTCTGGGCTCTCTTCTTTCTCCCACTTCCCTTTTTCTTTGCGCCTGGTTGCTTGTCCAGCCTTGCCGCTTTCATAGAAGCTTCCTTCTCCTGTTGCGGGTCACTTCCACTCTTCCAGCTGCCGTTCTCTCCGTCACCAGTTGCAGCGACCTGGCCAGTTGTCTTATTACTTTCTACTTGGTGCTGAGCCCTCCCCACACTTTGACTTCCCTCAGAGCATGTATTGCCACCACAGCCAATGACTTGGGCAGCAACTGAATCGTTGCGTGTCATTGTTATTGCTGTCATCCCTGTAATACCTGTAATTCCTGTAAACCCTGAGATGTTCATAGACACAGATCCTGTGATCGCCTCGTCGTGGTGAGCTGGTCTTTCTTCTCTTGATGCCTCCGGTTGATGATTTCCTGTTGGTCCTGCCCACTGACCGCAGGGCTCCAAGTTCGCACCATTTCCGTTTTCCCCTCTGTCTCCAGCATTCCTTACCATCTGACCACCGGCTTCTGCAGTTGCCTCCGTGGCCTGCGGCATCTGTTTATCGTTCTTCTTTTCCTTTCCATTCTCCTTTGTAATATTTCCGATATTCTGTGAATTGTTTTCTGCTGGAGGCTTTGCCAATGTCATAGGTACTTCAACACCTCGGCCATTCCCGTCGACAGGCAGTGGCTTCTTAGAACTGTCATCGTGCCTTCGTTTGCTCTCCTGTTACGCCCCAAGGACGATGGAGTCCAAACACCGCATGGTTAGCACCAGCCCGAAAAACAAACATCAAAATTTTCGCTGTCATTTAACATTATGTTTAGAAAAGGCATCATCTGGTCAGTTACGGAATGAAAAACAACAAACGATAACAAAATTGATCACTCTGTTTTGTAAGGAATTCCAAGAAAGCTGGGGAGGTCCGGTGAAGTTCGACAAAAAAACTTTTCACTGAAAGCTTTTTTTTACAGTACGACCAGCGATCGGCAGTCAACAATAGACACTTGGACAGACCTGGCCTTTTTGTTTTTTTTCTGAAGAGAGACGACCTTGACATATTATCATCGAACTGACCTGCCCCAGGTAATTGAGAACCATTTTACTCTGTTCATCCGGTTGCATCCGGATTCGGCCTCGGGTCTGTCTTTCAACAGTTCATGGGTGTACCCACTGAGCTAGGCCCCTCGGCGGAAGATCTGGAAGTTAACGTACATGAGCTGCTAAAGAGGCCGACACCATGGGTCACCCAGACAGCAAGATGCAGTACAGCGCTCGCTGACCAACAGGGATATACATACGATCACGGCAGCCATGGCTAAAAGAACCAGAGACAACATGGAGACAGGCATCAGATGTCACTGGGCCAATTGCACACGGGTTCGAAAGGAGTCCGGAATCCCGATTTTAATAGAAAGAGAATCCATATGTGGAGTCCTTCAGGACATCCGTTAAAATTGGAACGGTACAGAGAAGATTAGCATGGCCTTTGCGTAAGGATGACACGCATAAATCGAGAATGGAGAAGATACTGAGCCCAAGAAAAAACAAAAAACCTAGATGCAGGAGCACACCTCCATGTCTGTGGGATTTATTCTCATGGCTGAAGGATGATACACCAAGGAAGCAAAAGGAATACCAGAGGTGAGAGAGACGATTGCCTTGCAATTACCTCTTCTCCAGCGGCTGCATTCGAGACGCCACGGGCAGTGATTGCAGCTCCGAAGATAGGCAGGGCAGCGACTGTAGCCAAGGACACCGGTGCAGCAGCTGAAGCTCCACCAGATGCATGTACTGTGTTTTCACTGCGGGAGAAACATTCCAGTATCAATGACTCCTGTGGAGGATGTGAAAACCAAATTGTAGGTACACAACTGAACACCCAGCGGAGACGGGTTTTGAAACTATCATTATGATTCAACAGAGGCAGGTCATTATTCCCCACCCCATTAGGGAAGTGAAATCGTGGGTCACGGGTATCGAAGCAGGTCAGCTGGACTGAGCAGGCCAATCTCAAGAAGCATTGAGAAAGCAAGCAAGGTGTTTCCCTCTAGATAATCAAGAAGTTACAGTAAAAAAGGGCAAGCATTGAGAAAGCAAGGTGTTTCCCTCTAGATAATCAAGAAGTTACAGTAAAAAAGGGCAAGCATTGATTTAATCGCGCACGTACATTAATCACAATAAGAGCTTCACGACCATTGCGAAGGAGTTTATGCAGATTAAGTCTGAGTAACTGATTTAGGAGTACCAAAGATATGGCATTTGTCTTGGAATGATCACTGTGTGGGGTCCAACAGGTGGGTATCCAGCAATGCAGCAGAGAGCTTTCGCCGGAGGAATGACAGGGGATGTGCAATGGGTTCTATGAAATTCGTCTAACACTTGTTTGTTCACTTCTTCACTGACTTTTGCCAACCAAAGTCCTGTTGTGTAAGTATGACCTAAGACAATTATCAAGAGTCCGATCAGGTACAATGAAACCCAGGAACCATTTGAACCTTCAGGTTTTTTATCGAGACGGACATCTCATTGTACCTTTACAATAGCAGACAAGCAATAGACGCAGAGCTCTGACGCGGTTATGTACAATTGCTGGTAAAGAGCCAGAACCGGTGGATTCACACACATCACATGCTTAAGCCACCACTTCTTTTCTCAGCTCTCTTGTTCCGATGAAACTGTTAACCCACCCCATTAACAGGGGCTCACTCAGCCTACCGCCCAGAAGGGCTAGCAGCACCTGGTAAAAGGAAAATATTTTGCGCCTGCGTGAATTAGCGTGCACAGCAGCATTCAAGTTAAAAAAAAGAGTCCTGGGAAGAGTGGTGGTTTAAGACAAGGTTGCCACATGATGGAGGCATTCCAGAAATGCATCTGATGAGGACTGCGACTGTCATCCTCCCATGAGTCCCACCCATGCATGATATTTGTTCTCGGTCGGTTGGCTCTGTTCCTGTCTCTTATACACATCTAGATGTGTATAAGAGACAGGTACCAGTCTCATACCACCGAAGTCCAAACACTG